GCTTAACTTTTCCTTTTTTTGTAAAGTAAAAAGAAAGGTTTTATTCGGCATATGTTCAAAGAGGCAAAAGTAGGAAACGGACAAGCATACTGCCAGAAGTATGTCTGCCCGAGTCCAAGGAGTACTACAGAATAATAAATGCTTAACTTTTCAATGTCCAAAGTTAATATTTTTTGTCATTCTTTGTTCTCCTGAACACTATAAGGACAGGAACATTTAATCTCCACCTGAATTATTTTTTTTCATATGTTGCTGTATGAAATATTTACCTCATTAGATATTATTTTTACTCTTTTAAACAGTGTTCAATTATGTTTACCCACATATCTGCCATGTTCTTTATTTTGATTACTTCTTGTATTTCACACTTTCCATCTGTGATGATATTTCTTCCTCTTCCGCTTTGGTGAGTGTCTGCTATGACAAATTCTTAAGGTTTTTATATGTCATTCAATGTTTTCATTTTACCTTAATTTTTGAAAGCTAATTTCACTGTGTGTAACATTCTAGTTTGACAATTATTATCTATTAGCACTTTGAAGTGATGTTTCCCCTTCATCTAGGTCCCGTTGTTGTTTTCGAGAAGATATGTGTCTGGCTGGCTATCTGCCACTCTGGAAAGTAGTCTCCCCACTCGACCACCCAGGTTCCCAGTCCTGCTCAATTTTTTCCCTACTCCCCGCAGTTTTCTCTCTAAACGTTGGGGCTTCTCTTGGAATTGAACCCTGTCTGGTCAGTTTCAAGTGTTCCTAGAGGTAGACTTCTCTAGTCCTTCCAGGAATTGCCAAGTATCACTTTGTTTACCTGCTACCGTAGTGGGAAAATCCCTTCCTTTTATAATTGCTGTGATCAAACTGGCATGCTGTTTGCCCTTCCCGGTGAACACTGTGGGGGCTATGGAGTTCTACTATTAGGTCCAGTGGAAGGCTCCATTGCTTCCTTTTCATTTTTCCCACACAGACACAGATCCCACACAGCTATTGGTGGTTTCTTCTATACCCATTTATATATTAAGATATGTAGGAATATCTTGTCACCTAGCTTGTTGTAAATTTCTTCATGGGTTTTGGTTTTGCTATCTAGTTTCTCTGTTTTCAAAAACCTTCCTGCTGCCACCATCTTCCCAGAATCCATTTCCTCGAAGTTTCAAGGTAAATCTTGAATCATTTTACCTTATTTCTCTTTGCATTCAAATTTTTAACTTGCTCTTCACTCTTAAAGTTCTTATACATTTCTTTCTACTCCTCTCAAATTCTTGAATCTGATCCTCATATCTGACTCCAGATCCTACACTGATACAGACTGACTATTCTCCTTATCTCTAACTTTTGCATACTGCTTGAATTAAACTTGTTTCCAGTTTTTTGGGGAAAACATCTGTCTGATACCCAATGACTCTCAGATCTCTGTCATGGTATGGGCTGTTTATGGTAGAGATTCTCACTATGCTCATTCTGATTCGTAATTAAACAGACAAACAAAAAACAATAATCCTGGACCAGTATTCAGTTTTAACGAACATTAATAATATGTTTGAATACCTGTAAAACATTGGTAAGGGGTTATTTATCCCCTTTTCTTTTTTTGCTGAAAATCAGACTCTAGTCTCCATATTTCTTCCCCAGATTTTAATACTGCAGAGGCTACTTGTGCTGTCTGGTATTTATATTGAGATTAAGAGAAATAACAAAACTTTATGCATTTTCCCATCCCAAATGTTGAAAGAAAATATTAATGAATTGTAAGTAAATGTTAGTGAAGAAGTCAGCTGATATTTTATGAGTCTAGACTATTTCGCTGATGTTTAGATTGTATTTAAATCAAATTGCTAATGGAGCAAATAATATTGGATTTATATCCCTTTTTGAATGAGCAGAACCTTGTGATAACAAAGAAGGGCCATTGAGCATCTCCATGCTCTACTGTAGCTTTCGTATTCATAGGTTTCATTGTGTCTTGGCTCAGATAACCTGATGATGAAATTTAGATAATTGATAAGCCCATGAATATTGATTTTCCTGAATCAAATTTCTAATGAGTTCATAGTTAATATTGAGAAATGTTCAGTTATGTAAGTTTAGGTGACCCAAAACAGACTAAAATTGGGTCTAGATTGAAGCAAACAAGGCACCCCATGGAAAGAAATCAGCACCAGATATGCCTCTATATAAACCTCTAGCTTAGAGACAATAAGAGGGCTCCTACCTTATTCCAGTGTATGTATAATTAATATCTACCAAGGAAGATAGCAATACTGGCTTATGTGTTTAATTCTTTATTTCAAAGATGCGCTAATTATATTTATATGCTTCCCTGTGCTAATGAACACAAAACTTCTTTGTTCAGAGGTATATCTTCCTTTTCAAAATAAATTATCTTCTTCATAAAGCCTTTCAGCGCAGCAAATCTTACTTGGTGAGAAACATATATCAACTTGCTTTTCATCTGTAGCACAGCTTCTCTTACAGTGACCATTGTATTTTAAGCAACGATCAGGATCCACAAAGGAACAGGTAGCTACTGTGAAAGCAGAGTGACTGAAATTACTTCTCACTTATTAAAGCACGTATTACTTTCTGATTACATTGTAGAAAATCTGGAAAATTCCAAAAAAATGAAGACGTTTAAAATATCCCAGGACCCGCTGTGCAAGTTCGGTTGGTATATGCATATTTGAAACATGTTTTTGAAATTAATATATGATAAAAATTTTATCCTCTATATATCATTCTCCATATAGCCTCCTAAGCAAGGTTTACTTTTTTTTTTCTTTTTTAGAATTACATGATATTCCCTTGAAATTGTATGCCACAATTTGTTCTATCTTTCAGCTCTTTTTGGACAAACAGGTGATATTCAAATTTTCAGGATTTTAAGACTATGATAAACAAATTTTATTAGAATTTTTAATATTTACATGATATATTCTTAGGATAGTTGTGAAAGAATTATATTCTAGAGCTCATAACTTACATGTTGCCACAAATGGTGTAATTTCCCCAAAATAAAATGGTAGCTAATGCAATTTAAAATTGTGTGTCTTTGATTATTCGTATTGACAAGTTTTGTTGTTTTTTCTTTGACCAGGATAACTGACCAGGATAATAAATTTTATCTGCCATATTTGCTGAGATTTTTTTCCCCAGTTGTTTTTCGATTTGTTAATCGTGGTTTTTAGATAATAATTGTTTTATTACATGATAATAAATATTACTTTCCAAAAATGTAAAATGTATTATACAAAATATAATTTTGACATGCAGAAATGTATAAAATGTTATCCATTTCCAATGTATTAGCCCACTTTTATAGTAAGACAATTTTTTTTAAAAGAGTTCTAATAATATTTTACTTACCTTATTTTTCTTTTCAAATCGATTGTAATTGTCAGATATGCAGCTAACTTCACCTTCACTAAAACAGTAAATAATTGCCTTATGCTATTTATTGAAAAAAGAATCACTGTTGGTGCAATGGTTAAGTGCTCTGCTCCTAACTCAAAGGTAGGCAATTTGAAACCACCCAGTGATTATGCAAGAGAAAGACCTGGCAATCTGCTTCTGTAAAGATTACAGCCAAGAAAATTCTATGGGGCAGTTCTACTCTATCACGTGGAGTCATTAGTAGTTGAAATTGACTCCATGGCACACAACAACAATTTATTGAAAAAATCTCCCCATGCCTTGAAATTATCTTCATTATATTCTTAGTGAATGTTATATTCGAAATTCTCAAACTCAGGATCTGTTTCTGAGCTGTCTAGTCTATTTTATGAATGTATCTGTGGATTTTTGAAACAGAAACAGATTAACAAAAAATGTAATAGAAAAATCATGTGATTTATTTATTATTATTTTCTTTATATAGAAAACTTAATAATAAAGTATAAAAAATTTGCAGAAGAACGCCCAAACATAAATGCACAGCTAAGAGTATTATTACAAATTAAGCACTTATGTGACCAGTAGAACATTTGCCAGTGTTGCATTAGTGCCCCCTTACAGTAACTATTGCCTCCCACTCTTTCATTTCCCAAATAAAATATTATCTTGACATAATATTTTGGTTAAGTTCACTCATTTTAAAACTTTATATGAAAGTAGCTGTATAGTATATATATATATATATATATATATATATATTTGTGTCTGTTTTCACTCACTCAAAAGTTTTTTTTTTGAGATTCATTGTTGTTTTAGGTAACTATATTTTTATTAATGAGAATTCCAGAACACTTAATTGTGCTCTTGTGGAACCTCTACATAGACCAAGAGGCAGTTGTTAGAATAGAACAAGGGGATACTGCATGGTTTAAAATCAGGAAAAGTGTGCAGCAGGGCTGTTTTCTTTCACCACACTTATTAAATCTGTATGCTGAACAAATAATATGAGAATTTGGGCTATATGAAGCAGAATGGGGCACTAGGATTGGAAGAAGACTCATTAACAACCTG